ATCATGTTCGATGAAGATATTTTGTAAAATTCCTACAGTAAATATATCGAAACTTCATTTTTGATTAGTAATATGCATTGCTAAGAACTTCGTTTAGACAACTTTAAAGGTGATTTTCTCAATATTTAAATTTTTTTGCACCCTCAGATTCCCAGATTGTATCTCGGCCAAATATTGTCATATCATAACAAACCATACATCAATGGAAAGCTTATTTATTCAGCTTTCAGATGATGTATAAATCTCAATTTTAAAAAATTGACCCTTATGACTGGTTTTGTGGTCCAGGGTCACATATCAGTCAGATTTAACGAGCAAAATGATCCAAAATCATGATATAGTGACTGACTTTTGAATTCAGTACTTTCACATTCATTTTCCTTTAAAAGGAATGTCTATAGAGTCTGACCAGTCAGAGCAGGCACTTTACCCAACAAGTTTGGCTAGTTAGCATGATCCAGTTAGCAACTGCCAATGCCAACTATAGCATCTTGTGAACAAAAAAAGCATCTTTCTCCAGAGACGGGCATTTCAATTAGACATGTATGCTTTGCAAGTAGCATATACGTATTCTTTGTTGTATATTTTTACCTGTCTGCTACTTCTGGGAGTCCTGCGCCAAAAACTGCCACTGAGATGAATGGGGATGCTAACGGATACCTCTCTTCAGGTATTACAGACCTCCCCTACCCAATTCTGTCAAAAAACTCCCCTTGAAACCAAAAGAACAGACAGGAACTCGTCTCAAAGGATGATGTTGAATCTTCTCACAATCTGGCATTGTTTCCCTCTAAACTGACATTAGTTTACAAAGCATTCTGTAGGCTAATAAAATATTAACAAGCAACAGAACATTCACAAACAATTAGTAAGTAGCTACTCTATTATTCAATAGTCAGAGGCAGCGGGTGTGTGGAGGAGCATATGAATATAAATATTAATTGATCTTCAGAGAGGAACAATGACTTCAGAGCAGGAGAATTTTGTGATTTCTGGTTTGCTCAAAGACAACAGGAGCGTCTCCCATTCTCTCCTACATTCTCACACATGCACAAGGGTCTGGAGGGGATAGATAAACACAGTGTAGTGTAGCTCTGGGAGAAGAAAGTCCTTCACACTTTTCTGTGCTTCTGTGAAGCGCTATGTGATGTACTGCCAGGAGAGCCACTGCTAGTAGATTTGGACACAAATGTCAGAGATTTCAGAGCCATATGCACCACACTTCTGTTTCTGAGGGACTGATCCATCTGAGGAACACAATGTATCTTTCTTTGTTTTCAGTTTTGCTGAAAATATGAAAAACTTTCAGGTTTAAATGGGGGAGATCACAGATTTTCACCTGTAAAACAAGAGCCATTCTACACCTGATACCAAAAGATGATCTTTTTAAAATATTGTTTTGTAAAGAAGAATTATAAGAAAATATTTTTTTGGGGAAAAAAAACTGTTTTTTTTTTAGAATATGCATATACAATGTTCTTTTGAATGCCACTGATTTTCACTGTATGGACAAAAACTGTTAAAACATTCTTCTAAATCTTTTTTTTTTAATGAAAAAATGAATTTATCATTAAATTAATAAATTAATTATCATTATTAAATCAAGTTAATAATTGAAAATGTATCATTATTAAAGTAATATCATATATATGATAAATAAATATATTATTATTTATTTGTATAATATACATTTTAATATAATTATTAAATCAAATTAATAATTTGGATTTATTAAATAATAGTATAATTATAATAAATTCAGTATCATAATATATAAAATATGTATAATATTTAAATCAATATTAATATATTAGAATTAAATTAATATATTAATATTATGTATAAAATATATTTAATATTAATTTTCTTATTTACAAAGCAGAATAAAAAGATATTTTGAAAAATATCTTCGTCTTCTTTTGTTGTTGTCATCGTTTGTTTTGTTTTGTCTTGTTTTTACTATACAAAACTCCACAGACTTTTCCTGTGGACAAAACAGTCTTGAAACAGTCTTCAAAATATCTTTTCCGTGTTACAAAAAAGAAAAAGTCATACAGGTTTGGAACGCCATGAGGGTGAGCAAACAATGACGTCATTTTCATTTTTGGCTAAACTGCCCCTTTATTCTTCACACACTTTCTGAACGTATCTGAGTTTCCACGGTAACACTAAAGCTGTTTGCAAGTGCGTAGGACAGTGTTTTTTTCCACCGTATGGTTTTTGTTTTCTGCTTTTAGCATATAAAAGTGCAACTTTGGTCTCATCTGAGCAACACAGCAGATGCTCGGTATCTCCTCAGACCTCGGTGGAATATTAAAGCAACAATAAACACAAACAGAGCTGCTTTCTTTATACGATTAAGATATGAAGATATCAGCTTTGACTTAAGGCATAATGACTGAGTAAACAGTCATTACCTCATTTGGAATTCAGAAAAAGCGGGAAATCTGATTGTTGAGACTCAAGGGTGTTTTTTTTTGCGCAATATGATTCTGTAACTGCACAGTAATATATGATTTCTGTAAAAACATGAGGCAATATATAATAACACACAGTGTTGATTATTGATTATTTCCACACTGGATACAAACAAACATACCTTATCTGTTACCAGGAGGATTTGAAATCAAATAGATATGTCTGGAAGCTAATATTTTAGGGTGTGTTTATCTGTGCCATAGGCTTATCTGAATAAGAATGCATATGGATACACGCTATTAGCTTCTGGTGTGTGTGTGTGGTTTGTTTTCTTCATGTTGGCAAGAGGGAGTGTTTCTCACTGCCAACAAGCCATTCAGAGGCCTGCATGGGTGACAGAGGCGGATTGGCATGGTGACGTGTTATGACGTGCTTTGAGCGAGTGTAGCTGTAAACCAAACACAGACATGCTGACTGCTGTATAAACACACAGAGAAAGATAAGAAAGATTGATGATAAATATATATCTGGAGAGACACACACACACCAAGCACATATTCTCATAAACCCCTTTAGTTCAACACATGCATTATGCAGTGCAGCTCCATTTAACTAATAGTTGGTTGTGCTTAAGGGACATATTTCCTCTCTTCCTGAACGAAGATCTCTGTCTTAGGTAGGTCACATGCATCTATTCCATGTGGTCCTCCTGTCAGCCCCTTTCAGCGTCCTTTGCTAGTCTTTTGCACTACAAATCATTATATCTGCACTGTTGTTTACTTCACTGGTTTGCACTCTATCTGCCATGTGCCTTGTGCTGCTTTATATATTTTTTTTTTTTTTTTTTACATTTTACCTTATTTGTATATTTGTATAGTTGTATTTTTATATTTAATCTGTATCTATCTGTATTTATGTTCTACTGTTAGTGTTATCTGTATGCACCAAGGGTCTGAGAGTAACGCAATTTCAATTCTCTGTGTGTATGTGCTGTACATGTGGAAGAATTGACAATAAAGCAGACTTGACTTGACTTGACTTTAGGTACTGTATAGAATACTGCTTTCACTATTTTTGCATCATGAAGAACACATACTGTGCACAGTATGTGAAGTTTCTGTTTGATTGATTGATTGATTGATTGATTGATTGATTGTGATTGGACTGCCAAACATTAGAACATTTTTCTATTTGACTAAATCAAATGGGGGAAAAAATATTTTATTAAATTAATAATCAATTAATTTATTTTAATTGATTATTAATTTAATAAAATACTTTCCCCCCATTTGATTATGTACAAAAAATATATTAAAAATTAAATAATTATTAACAATTATTAAATGAATATCTTAAAATATATAAATCTGTAGTATTTCAATTAACCAATATTAATGTACGATCATTACATTTTGTATTTCCTATTATCTATCTTGTTTTACAAAGCATTGTTTTGGCTTTTTTGGCACTTTTATTAAAATAAAAACTGCAATAGTAATGGGAAAATACATATGCCGGATTTGAGTTCATGCCCACATTGTTCACATGATGTAATAACCACAATGCCATGGCTCTGACCATATACAACACACAAAAAAGTATGCAGTTATACTACATGGCCTGCAGTAGCAAGTACGTTAGAATTATATTCCAAACACACCCTCTTTGGCGCATCTTATATTTTTTCTTGTGTCTCACGACAGTTGCACCAGGGTCTGGGAGGATACGGAGGCTTTGAAAAGGCTTTAGACAGAGAGATTTGATTTGATATGTTGTGTTGGGACTGGAGAGCTTTATTCATATTGCTCTGTTATAAAATGTGCTTTTCATCAAAGAGAGCACATGCAGAGACAAGCACGGACGGAATCATCAATAAGGAATTATCGCATTTAATCCTTTGCAACATGCTGTATCTATTTGTCATGAGCGCATATTGTGTGCTATTTTTCAAACCAAGATTCCCCTCATCAATATTCTCAAATCTCAAGTCTTCATCATTAATCTCTCAGAGTTCCCTTTTGACAGCAATAATGAAAGGATCGGTGTAACACCAGCTGTAGCTCCATCTTATCAGTTATTGCATCTGTAACTCAAGCCCAACAGATGTCTTTGTTCAAATAATGCACGAGTTGTTCAGTCCATTACATTTCATGTTGGAACAACATGGGGGTTAGTAAATGATGACTGAATTTTTAAGTCTTGATCAGAGAATATAAAGTTTAAACACCTGTATATTGTCATTGTGTGTGTGTGTGTGTGTGTGTGTGTGTGTGTGTGTGTTTTTTCTTAGAGCTTAGTTCCCTTTTGACAGCAATAATGAAAGGATCGGTGTAACACCAGCTGTAGCTCCATCTTATCAGTTATTGCATCTGTAACTCAAGCCCAACAGATGTCTTTGTTCAAATAATGCACGAGTTGTTCAGTCCATTACATTTCATGTTGGAACAACATGGGGGTTAGTAAATGATGACTGAATTTTTAAGTCTTGATCAGAGAATATAAAGTTTAAACACCTGTATATTGTCATTGTGTGTGTGTGTGTGTGTGTGTGTGTGTGTGTGTGTGTGTTTTCTTCCAGAGCTTGCAGAATAAAATGACCACCAGGCGGTGAGAACTGAGTGTGTGTTGACTTTCTTCATGAGGGCTGAGAGATGACCATGAACGGCCGCTGGTCCTTCAACACCCTGGCCGTCATCTTTATCCTGCTGTCCACTGCAGGTAAGACCAGATCAAACAGGTGTTGCATATTTATATTATTTCTATGCAGGTTTGCGTTTTACATTAGAACACAATCTCAGTCAGGCACGTGCCCTCAGAAGTCATGACTTGGACGTGTTGCAGAATGAGTCACAATTTTAAGGATCTGACTTAAGGTAGAAACTCTTATTCAACTTTGACTTTCTCACAGTTACTGATGACTGCATTTGGACTGATGACTCAACATGAGTCATTTAAGATTGAAAACTGACCTATTTGTTCTTTCTGCCCGGCAAAGTGTGCAGTGATTTGTTAGACAAGCATCAAACACGTGCAGAGGTTAAAGTATGCCTATGATGTCACTGAAAGCAATTAATGGGCCATCTAGCATGTGCAAAATAAACTGAAACATCCTAAACGTTAGTTTACCATTTGTGTAGCGTTCCAAGAAGCAACTGCCATTTTTGGTCTAGTAACGCCACAAACACAGTCAAAAAATCTATTTATTATTAGATTAAAAAAAAACTTTTTTTTAATTAATAAAAGAATTAAATTGAAACAAATTTAAATACAATAATTAAAAATTAAAATTAAATACATGTTAATAATTTTGTGTGTGTGTATGTATGTATACACACACACACACACACAGACATATATATATATATATATATATATATATATATATATGAAGAGTGTTGTGGTTGTTTTTGACACCCACAAAGCAATTAAAAGATGGATGCAATTATTTTTTATTAATAAATTATCATAAAACCCTAATTTATAAAATATGATGCATAAAGATATACGCAGATTATTATTTTGATTCATTTATTCCCAAAAAAACTGCCATTTGTGGTCTACTAACCATCCTGAAACAAAAACCTGCAAAAGTCTGATTTACATAGGACTTCATGGTCATAAAATGATGCATTCCTGACCCTAAAAAACAAATATATTATTGTACACTATATTTGTATTTGTATTTTTGATTAAATAACAATTGTCTTTATTATGAAGATTTGATCACATACTTGAAGCTGTGGAGTTCATACATGGTTTATTCTGGTAAATTTGTCATACAAATGATCTCATCTTTTCTGACTCTTTAATAAACCTCTGGTTCAAAACTTGCATCCAACTCACATTCAACTGAATTCAATCTGAATCTAATCTGCTTTTTTTACTCTTCAACTCCCAGCAAAACTCATTAAATGGACATCTTAATGCAAAGCATAAGCCGCTACTACTGTTCATCTACTCACTAGAATCTCGCCAAAACATTTCATCAAATGGCCCTCAGATTAATTCAATACCTACATCCACATTTCCTGTAAGACAAACAGCCAGTACAAAAGCCTCAAGCCTGATTCTGCCATTATATTAAAGGCCAGGGCCATGACAGATGTGTGTTTGGATCGAGCTCCGAAGACTAGACTGTTGTTACAGGATGTAAGAGAGGGAGAGAAACTGAATGAGAGAAATATTTGGGGAATATTTATACAAATACCTTTTCATTTTGTAGTCCCATTCACTCGCTCTGCAATGTTTCAAGACAAGCGGAGCCAGACGTACCTTACTCAGGGGGAATTCACTAAGAATGAATTGTGCCTGCTGACAGTCGTTTATTTGCAAATGCTGTTTGTGTTGTTTTAGCACCCGATTCACTAAAGGAATTATGCAAATCAGGTAACGGCCCAAACATGGCCAAAAAAATTGCCTGAATGCAATTTGCACAGAGCAATTCTCAATCTTGTAAGCGAGGTTTGAGCGCTAGGTTATGGATAAATCAGGAGACTATCGCAATCTGGCATATTTGACTGTACAGCATTGCTCCACTATATATACTGTATATTTATACTCCAAATCAAAAGTTTGGGATCCTTTTTTTTTTGGAAAGATATTAACACTTTTATTCAGCAAAAATGCATTAAATTGATCAAAGTGACATTTATAATGTTACTTTTTTCTTTTCTTTTTTTGTTCAAATACATTTCTTTTCAAATAATCCAGAAAAAAAATTTATATACAACCTTTTTCAACATTGATAATAGTAAGAAATCTTGAGCACCAAATCAGCATATATATGATTTCTAAAGGATACATATGACACTGAAAATTCAAAAGACAGAAAAAATCAGCATTGCCATCACAGGAATAAATGATATTTTAAAATATATTAAAACAGAAAACAATTATTTTAAATTGCAATATTATTTCACAATATTACTGTTTTTACTGTGATTTATTTATTTACAAATAAAAGCAGCCTTAGTGAGCATGTGAGACTTAAAAAGAATTTCAAAATCATATCAACCACAAACTTTTGAATAGTAGTATGTATGTATATTTGCATAAAAGTTGATATTTATATACAGATGCAATTTTGTGGCTGTTTTTGACTGCTAAAAAAAAGCAAAGATAGTTTCTTTATAAACAACTAAATGAAACCAAAAGAAATTCTTCAAAGATTGTAAATGCAATGAAAATATTTTTGTTGTGATTAATAAATTACCATTAAACGCTAATTTATCAAATATGATACATACACACATACAAACATTTTTTTTTTACATATTTTGTCTAAAGGTTCAAAGTTTCAATAAACTTCAAGTAAAAAAAAAATATAGAAAATGCTAATTACTCAAAATGTCACATTTCAATGCATTTAGCGTCTGCTTAAACTGGATTGAGAGTGTTTTTGTGCTGAATTAGTGCACACTGAAGGGGCACAACTGTTTAGTGAATTCACCCCAGGATATTTCAACACACAAGCGGAGTCAGAAGTATCACACACACAGACTTTTGAGATTGTTTATGTAACTCCTGAGCCATATCTCACCCGACACGGAAGAGATAAATATCTCAAATGAAGCGAAACCTGTCCCCAAAGTGAGCACGGCAAGAAGCAGAGAACACAGTTCTTTTTTTTTCACAAACCTAATGGCTGAACATCATGGAGAAATGTCGCACAGTGTCATTCATAAACCATTTTGCTGCCATTCTCCAGTGAGTGCAGACATGTTAATTCTAACATAGACAGACACAATTACCCAAAAGTAACTTGAGGACAAGGCCCTTATTCAAACATCTGTGAATATTTAATATTTCTTTCATGGAATGTTCTTTGCAGTGCAGTCATGTAACTAGTTATAATGAGTGAGAGCTACAGTCCACTATCATTATAAAACACAAGCAGGTAGATCTGCTCTCTCTGCCAGAAAACACATGCTGACTTCCTTCATCTGCCAAAACTCCCACAAGAGGGTGAACTTTCACCTTTACGAGTCCACACAGCTCGCGTTTGGCTTCATGAGGCATTCTACCCCATCCAAAATCTGCCGTTCCCTGAGGTTAATAGTCATAAACCTATCCATTTATGGTAACGTCAGTATCCTTAAAACATTTAGTAGACTCTCTTGACTGAGCTCACTTCAATAGGCATGAAAGAGTTTGCTATTCATCTTTGGTTTTCTCTGAGCAAATGTCTTGTGCGCCTTTTGTATGCAAAGAGAGAATCGTCATGGTGCACTTTTTAGCATTCAGACACATCTCTCTCAGCTGAACTATCTGAAAGAGCAGAAGTCTGAGGAAAAGCACTTGCCAAGCTCAGTGTTAAGTAGGACTGGGAACCGGTTCTATGGTTTAAAAAACACCTGAATTAAATGATTTATGACTTTTGGTTCTGTTCACGGTTCCTGAATGTGCATTCTTCCACCAACACAGATAAAACACTGTACTTTTGCACTTAGAACCTGGGAATTCACAAAACATACAGCCGACACAACAGTCTGGTTGTTTTTCAGTGAATCAAAAACACATATCTGAATGGCTACTGAATTAATTTGTCTCACTTACTGAGCACAAGTCATTAAATCAGTGTTGCTTTTGACTTGTTGTTTATATGACAATGTTTATTTACTGATAACACATTTGAGTTTTATTGCATCAAGGAGTTATTTATACTCTAAAAGTGACTTAATTATTCAATTAACAAATACACAAGTGAACAATGTTTTTATTTATTCAGGGCTAATTAACAGATTGCATTAACACACATGTTTGTGCTGAATTAAAAAGAATAAAAATGCTAAAGAATGAACCATGGTGTTGCTCTTTGCATGCTAAAATTGCATTTGATGTATTCATGTTTTGGTATATCTATTTTGTTGAAGCCTAAAATGTTCTCATTTGTCATCAGACTGCTGAAGGCAGTAAAGATTACATCACTTATTTCCAAATATTTCTTTCACTAACGAGACTAGCACGAAACCAACATCAAGATATGGAAGCCTGTTTCCACCTTAAGAGTACAAAATAAAAATGGTAATCTTGAGAAAAGTTTAACGAAATAAATAAATAAAGTGACACTGTGAAACATAAAGTAGCAACTAAGTGATATAAAGTCATATTGCAACAAAGCCACATTGTGAGACTAAATCACAATTAAAATACATAAAAACAGTAATATCGTGAAATATTATTACAATTTAAATGAGTTTTTAATAGATTTTCAAATGTAATTTATTCCTGAGATGACAAAGCTGAATTTTCAGCATCATTACTCCAGTTTTCAGTGTCACATGATCCTACAGAAATCATTCTAATGTTGATTTGGTGCTCAAGAAACATTTCCTTTTATTATCAATGTTGAAAACAGCTGTGCTGCTTAATATTTTTTGTGAAAACAGTGATATTTTTTTTACAGGATTTTTTAATGAATAGAATGTTTTTAAAAATCTGCATTTATTTGAAATGGAGATATTTTCTAACAATATAAATGTCATTATTGTCACTTCTTATCAGTTTAATCCATCCTTGCTGAATAAAATTATTAATTTCTTTAAAGGGGTCATATGATGCAATTTCAAATTTTCCTTTCTCTTTGGAGTGTTACAAGCTGATCGTGCATTGATAAGATCCCTAAAGTTGCAAAGACTAAAGTTTCAAACCCAAAGAGATATTCTTTATAAAAGTTAAGACTTGTCCACGCCCTCCTAAAATGCCTCGTTTAAACATGCCCCCCACATGTCTACGTCACTGTGTGGGAAGATTTGCATAACACCGCCCAAATGTTAAAGAAAGAAGGCGTAACTTTGATTCTCGTTGTAGTATTGTTGCTGCCGCCGCCATGTCGTGGAGACGCTGTGTGTATCGTTGTGAAAGCGAAACTCCTTTTTTTTTGGTCTTCCAAAAGAGGACACAACTAGAAATTAGTGGTTAAGTTGTATTTACAACACTGTTCCAGAACAGTTCAACCCAAATATTCAGATGTGTGCAGCACATTTTATGGAGGACTGTTTCCTGATCCTGGTAGAGTAGACTACAATTGCGTCTGTGCACAAAGGTTGTTTCTATAAAGTGGGGCAGTTGCAACTTTGCAAGGACAGTCTGGCGCTTCTGAGTCACGGCCTTTAAGTAAGTTTTTATATTTAAAGAATTTGCCACTGATGATTCAAACGCGAGTTTTGAGCAGTGTAGAGTAGAGCTTGTTGTTTGTTGTTTCTCCGATCACAAATGCAGACATGGTTTTATGTTTACGCGGCGCGATACACAACGCAACACATAAAAAGACAGTATAAGTCATTATAATCAGTAATTATGTCCCCACTGGATGCAACAAATGCCTCGTTTGTAATGGGTTTTATTGTTTTTGTCTGGTCGCGCAAGGACACGCCATCACAGTTACACCAAATACACAAAATAATGTTCTTTTTAGCAACGTCATATGACCCCTTTAAAAAATATATATTGACCCCAAATTTTTGAACAGTAGTGTACACACCAAAAACGGTTTCTGTAGTAAGCTTCGGCCCTCAAACAGGCAGTCATACATGATTTTAAGGGTTGATGTTATGGTTTCAGACCTGTTAGAAAGGTGTTTGTCCGCCATAGTAGGTGCTGATCATGTGGCGTACCAAAATAAAAACACTTAAATACTCCCGCTGCCACGGTGGAAAAGAGAACGAAAAAATCTCCAACAGGTGGTTTTCATTTCACACCCCAGCTTTTTATTTTGTTCTTTTTTCCCCCTTTCCAAATATAAGAGACCTGCCTTATTGCCTATTTGGTTGATGGATACATAGCCTGAGCACTGCCAAATAACTTCCCCTGTAATACTGGGCTCTTTATAGGGTCAAAGGTGGCACTGGAGGGCTCTCTGGCCCACGCTGCTGTCAGCGCTGATTTATTCCGATCATTACCAGACTCTCTGTATGCCTGCGCACTCACGTAATTGGACGCTTTGGTCATTAGCAAGAGGTCAAATGCGGCAAACATTAAATTGTTTCCTGTGTCATAATATTTTTTGCCTAGCTTATTCAACTTCGATTCACGGCAATTAACGTTAAAAGTTGTTGTTTCTATTCCAGTTCTTGCGAGTCTTTTCCAAGCCTGAACCCCTTCTCTGCTGATTCATTGTTGTAGTGTGAATCAGAATAATTGCCTTGAAATAACTGGAAAACTTAAAAGAATAGTCCACCCGAAATGAAAAATTGCTGAAAATGTATTCACCCACAGGTCATCCAAGATGTAGATAAGTGTTTCTTCATCAGAACAGTTTTGGAAAAATGTAGCATTACATGAGTTGCCCACCAATGGATTCTCTGCAGTGAATGGGTGCCGCCAGAATGAGAGTCCAAATATTTTATAAAAACATCACAATAATCCACAAGTAATCCACACAATCAATTAATATCTTGTGAAGTAAAAAGCTGCATGTTTGTAAGAAACAAATCCATCATGTTGTCAATTTCATTGTATTAAAATATATGTCCTCTATCCATAATGCTCCTTTCTCCAGTGGAAAAAGTTGTCTCGTCTGAATCAGGAGAGAAATACGCACAGATCAGGCACTGTTTACAAGTGAAAACAGTCCAAAATTGTTCTAAACAAATCTGTTGGTGGATTTTGATGTGAGAGGACAACAGGGGATGGGCTTTTTCACTGGAGGAAATGTTATGTAGGCCTACTCAGATTTTGTCCAGAAGTGACAGTTTAAAGTTAAAAAACCTTAATGATGGATTTGTTTCTTACAAACACACAGATATTCACATCATAAGACATTATTTGATGGACTGGAGTTGTGTGGATTACTTGTTGATTATTGTGATGCTTTTATTAGCTGTATGGATTCTCATTCTGACGGCACCCATTCACTGCAGAGCATCCATTGGTAAGTAAGTAATGTAATGCTAAATTTCGCTAAATCTGTTCTGATGAAGAAACAAACTCATCTACATCTTGGACAGCCTAATGGTGAGTGAATATTCAGCAAATTTTCATTTTTGTTGAACTATTCATTTAATGCAGTTTCTCAAGGAAAAGCTTGCACATGCTTTAAAAAATACAGTAATTTTAACAGTTAAACTTTTTTAACTGTAATTTTAAGTTTAATATATAAAACCTAAATAGTTCTGGCAACCATATAGCTGTTTTTTTTTTTTCCTTCATTTTCACAATTTTATTATATTTTTTAACAGTGCATAAAATCTCAGCAATTTCTTCCACAACAGTACTGACTCTAAGGTGTAGCCTACAGTTCAGAGCAAGAATGCCTCCGGCACAAATATTAATACACTGTAAAAACGGACAGCGAGGTCCATCAAATTCACAGAGATCCAACTCTAGTGTTCCTGTCCATTCCACTTTACCAATAGTGCATTCTCAGACAGTTCTCATCTATATGCAAATGACGGCACAGTGCTTTCTTCTTTTCCATAAAGCTCAATATGAAGCTTTAGAGATGAGCAGGTGCACTTTGAGAGTGAGTCTATGGACATTGCTGATGAGCACAAAATTTTTCATTGAAAAAAAGAGGAATGTCCAAGATACTTGCTCATTCATTTGCCTTGCCATTAGAATGTTTTCCGAGACTCTGTGAACTTCATTATCTGAGCAATTACTGGTGCCAGGCTTGTTTGACAGTGAGTTAGTTCATGAGTTGAGAAGCTGTCCGCTTTGGCGCGAGACGAGCATGTTTGTTATGTCACTTATGATATTAAACACTCTCACTTTACAGTGCTTATGGTTCTGGAGTTGAAATGTGCCACATGACAGACTTCAGAGAGTCAGAAAGGACGTATTTAATGCGTTTAGCAACCAGAGCTCTAATTACTGAAGACATGAAAGATCTGCTCCGTAAATCTCTCCCTCTGTTCCACCTTAATAATCTCTATCTTGCACATATCAGAAGTCATTCATCCTACCTTGAATCAGATCACGAGCTGTTTGAAATCACTCAGCTCTATCGACCCATGAAAGACTTGCTTTATTCCCTCATACCGTACAGTTTTATCTCTCTGCAGCTCTCTCTGCGCACTTCAGGGTGTGTGAGCCTTACTCCGACCACAAGGGGCGCTATCACTTTGGTTTCCACTGCCCTCGACTCTCAGACAACAAGACCTACATATTCTGCTGTCACCATAACAACACGGCCTTCAAGTACTGCTGCAATGAAACTGAATTTCAGAGCGTGATGCAGCTCAACCTCACCACCAACTCAGACGGCTTTGCCCACAAGTGAGTAACTGTTTTGCTAGCATGCACTTTGCTTTGTTGGGCTCTGAACCAACAGCCATCATAATAAGGGTCAACACTTTTTTCAAATGGTGTACCCCCATCTAAATTTTGAATGACGAGTTGTCAACAAAATTATTTAATTGAGTTCAATTCTTATTTTATTTTTTATTTTTTTTTATTAATTTTTATTTTAATGTTTTTGAATATTTTTCTCAAATGTTTGTCAAAGGTATATTTGAAATGTATTTATATTTATATTTGTATATTCCTTTTTTCTTTTTTTTTTGGTCAGCCTTCATTGCGACCCAAAAAAATAATATATAGAATATACAAATAAAAATATAAATACATTTCTAATATACCTTTGACAAAAATGTGAGAAATTTATTAAAAAACACTAAAATAATAAATAATGTTGTAATAAATAATATTCAGTAAGGCCATTTTTTAAATGTTGATACTTGTTTACGTGCATAAAATGTTTTCATTCTGACGGCACCCATTCACTGCAGAGCATCCATTGGTAAGTAAGTAATGTAATGCTAAATTTCGCTAAATCTGTTCTGATGAAGAAACAAACTCATCTACATCTTGGACAGCCTAATGGTGAGTGAATATTCAGCAAATTTTCATTTTTGTTGAACTATTCATTTAATGCAGTTTCTCAAGGAAAAGCTTGCACATGCTTTAAAAAATACAGTAATTTTAACAGTTAAACTTTTTTAACTGTAATTTTAAGTTTAATATATAAAACCTAAATAGTTCTGGCAACCATATAGCTGTTTTTTTTTTTTCCTTCATTTTCACAATTTTATTATATTTTTTAACAGTGCATAAAATCTCAGCAATTTCTTCCACAACAGTACTGACTCTAAGGTGTAGCCTACAGTTCAGAGCAAGAATGCCTCCGGCACAAATATTAATACACTGTAAAAACGGACAGCGAGGTCCATCAAATTCACAGAGATCCAACTCTAGTGTTCCTGTCCATTCCACTTTACCAATAGTGCATTCTCAGACAGTTCTCATCTATATGCAAATGACGGCACAGTGCTTTCTTCTTTTCCATAAAGCTCAATATGAAGCTTTAGAGATGAGCAGGTGCACTTTGAGAGTGAGTCTATGGACATTGCTGATGAGCACAAAATTTTTCATTGAAAAAAAGAGGAATGTCCAAGATACTTGCTCATTCATTTGCCTTGCCATTAGAATGTTTTCCGAGACTCTGTGAACTTCATTATCTGAGCAATTACTGGTGCCAGGCTTGTTTGACAGTGAGTTAGTTCATGAGTTGAGAAGCTGTCCGCTTTGGCGCGAGACGAGCATGTTTGTTATGTCACTTATGATATTAAACTCTCACTTTACAGTGCTTATGGTTCTGGAGTTGAAATGTGCCACATGACAGACTTCAGAGAGTCAGAAAGGACGTATTTAATGCGTTTAGCAACCAGAGCTCTAATTACTGAAGACATGAAAGATCTGCTCCGTAAATCTCTCCCTCTGTTCCACCTTAATAATCTCTATCTTGCACATATCAGAAGTCATTCATCCTACCTTGAATCAGATCACGAGCTGTTTGAAATCACTCAGCTCTATCGACCCATGAAAGACTTGCTTTATTCCCTCATACCGTACAGTTTTATCTCTCTGCAGCTCTCTCTGCGCACTTCAGGGTGTGTGAGCCTTACTCCGACCACAAGGGGCGCTATCACTTTGGTTTCCACTGCCCTCGACTCTCAGACAACAAGACCTACATATTCTGCTGTCACCATAACAACACGGCCTTCAAGTACTGCTGCAATGAAACTGAATTTCAGAGTGTGATGCAGCTCAACCTCACCACCAACTCAGACGGCTTTGCCCACAAGTGAGTAACTGTTTTGCTAGCATGCACTTTGCTTTGTTGGGCTCTGAACCAACAGCCATCATAATAAGGGTCAACACTTTTTTCAAATGGTGTACCCCCATCTAAATTTTGAATGACGAGTTGTCAACAAAATTATTTAATTGAGTTCAATTCTTATTTTATTTTTTATTTTTTTTTATTAATTTTTATTTTAATGTTTTTGAATATTTTTCTCAAATGTTTGTCAAAGGTATATTTGAAATGTATTTATATTTATATTTGTATATTCCTTTTTTCTTTTTTTTTTGGTCAGCCTTCATTGCGACCCAAAAAAATAATATATAGAATATACAAATAAAAATATAAATACATTTCTAATATACCTTTGACAAAAATGTGAGAAATTTATTAAAAAACACTAAAATAATAAATAATGTTGTAATAAATAATATTCAGTAAGGCCATTTTTTAAATGTTGATACTTGTTTACGTGCATAAAATGTTTGTTTGTTTGTTTATTGTCAACTTATATTAGATTCCATTTGAGTAAAACTGACTAAAATTAATGAATATGACATGATAAAATATTGACAATTTAAAGTATTTGGAAAATACTTATTCTGTATTAAGTATAACATATTGTAAAATATGAATATCATACCGAAGAAGAGATATTAAAAGTAAGTACATAATTCACAAAAAAAAATGCAGATTCATCTTTAATTCACTAAGTTAAACTTTGGTTTCAGTAATATATATACACATTTACAAAATATTTACAAAATATATACATTTTGTAAAATATTTTAAGCAACCCCTTTGAAAATCCTTGAATTAAATGACACTAATAATTTTTTCATAGATTAATAAGCATATGATTAATGAGAGATTAAAAAACATATATAATAATTTACTTATATTGAGAAAAACAAATAACAACTGAAAGTGATATTTGATTGTATCGTGGCCAAATATTCAAACATAGAATATTTGAATATTTAGTTCAATTTTATAATTTTTTTGTCAACTTCTATTAGATGCCATTTGAGTAAAACTAACTAAATTTAATGAATATGGCATGATAAAATATTGAGAGTTTAAAGGATATTTTTCTCAAAAGACAAAAACTGTGACTAAAAAAAATAGATGCAGTTGCAGTACTATTACGCTGTTTTAAACATATTCCTCACACTCAGTGAATATACCAACTACTGCATGCAATATCTCCATCTCCATTTCAAACTCTTCACATCCTAAAACATGACAAATAACCTCTGATGCTGCTATGGTGTGAAATAATTAGAGTTCCCTTTCAGTCGGTCACTCCCGACGTCACGTCGGTTGACCGACTGAATTGGGATCTCGCTTAATTCTCTGAACATTTCTCATTCACACTTTCTGCTACTTTTTATTTTATTCATTGGGAGATAAGAGATAAAAGATAGACGGTGTAATCTGCCCTCTGCCCTCAGCGCGCACTTTTAAAAATGGGCCTTGATTAATCCTACATATTCATTCGTAGCTGGTCCATCCATCCAAACCCTACCACAGCCAGCCTGCACCCAACCAAAACTTCCTCTGACAGGGTCCTGACCCGTACGCTGTGTTGTGAAAGTGCTGTAATGACCACAGAAGGTTAGCAGTGCCGTTCAGATGTTCCCACAGGCTGTTAAAGTAACAAAGTCTGAAAAATGACTCCCGGTCTCTGGTGCAGTGAGCCAGACCAGAGATCAGTAGAGTGATGCCTTTCTTCTGAATATCCTCACGGCTTGTTTATCCCTCCAGCTGACTGAGAGGTAGGTTAGAAAAATGTGACAATCAGATGGACTCGCTTATTTGCGGCAGGCCTGATTTTGTCTGCCATCCTCAGATTCAAATCTACATGCATGCAAGATACAGAAAACATCTGACAGAACAGGTTAAAACCAGGTTCATTTAAAATATTTTTCATTAAATCGGGGGTTTCCAAACTTTTTGATGTCAAGGACCTGCAAATATCATTACCCAGTTGTGAGAGACCCCCTACCTAAAATATAAAGGCACTGGCAGCTATTTATTTTTATATATAAAGACCCATTCTTACTGTGTAAGAAAAATATGTGATGATATAAAACCGTTTCAAAATTCAATAATTGTAATTGGCCAAAAAGATAAGAAAACAGCTCAAAGAAATTAAGTATATTATTAAGTAAAAATTAATTAAAATATACTTTCTATTAAGTATAACATATGAATATAAATCAAGTGAATATTTGATTTTTTGAAGGAGAGAACTTAGAAATAAGCATTTTTCTCAAAACATATGCAGATATATGTGTGTGTGTGTGTGTGTGTGTGTACACTGTAAAAATTGATTTCCCAAAGTTGTAAATAAAAAAGAATATTCAATCATGTTTTACAAGAAAATACTATTATTTAATTAATATAGTAGGTTGTTAATATAATATGTACATTACTTTTATTCTAATATATACATTTTTTTAAATATATTTTGTAAATATTAAGTGACATGAATTTATTTTTTAATCACCTCCTAATCTTGAATATTTTAGCACATCCATGACTAGGAAATGACATGAATGCATTAAAAGAGGATTTGAAAATATCAGCACAATATCTTGATAAAAACAAAAGTGATGTATGATTGTACTGTTGCTGCCTGCGTCCGCAGTTTCTGAAACATCTCTGTTGATGCCTGCTGTGTGTGCAATTTCCTAATCACTATTCCCAAGTGAACCACGCATCCAGATCAAATTGTCTGTTCCGATGATGAAAGAATTCCTCTGACATAAGCCTTCGCAAAAGAGCTCCGCAGGCTGCAATATCTTACTCAGTCACAGCCTCAGGTGTATGCATGAAAAACCAAGCCCTGTTGTTTCAGCCAAGCATCTCTGTGAGAAACATGGCAGTACTAATCCACAACAAATCAATTAATCTTCAGCCCCACAATAGGACATGAACAATGAAGCAGTGACATAAAGGCCAGTCTGTCACCATGCCCTGACTCAGGTCAAGCATGAAAATGTTATTTCACCGCTCAAGATCAAATTGATCCCTCTATAGAATCCCAAACCACTGGGTAGCTGTGCAAAGTCTGCCCCACCTGCACACTATCCTGCCAAAGCAATCTGAAAGGCCAGTGGAAAGCAATTACAGCACTTTACTTCCACTGCATGGGCACTGACCTCTCTTTTATTTGCACCGGTTGATTTAAATGAGGAGAAAATCAGGCCTATTCCTCCTTGTAATGATATGAATATTCCTGTTTCTTTTTTTGCTTCCTTGTAGAGCATAAACAACGCCACTAACTTCCATAATCATCCTTTCTTTCACTTTAGTAACTACACTGCTCTCATCGGCGTGTGGATTTATGGCTTTTTCGTCATGGTCCTCCTGGCTTTGGACTTCCTGTACTATTCAGCTATGAACTACGAGTTGTGCCGGGTCTACCTGGAGAAATGGGGGCTGGGAGGACGGTGGCTCAAACAGGCCAGGATTCAATGGCACAGTGCGGCTCAGGAGGGCGAACACAACATGGGATCAGGCCTGAGTCAGCACCATGCGCGGCACAGTTTGAGAGGAGAAGCACAGAGCCCTACGCTCTTGACCTTCCAGACCTCAACAGCCTGGTGAGTCAACCAACAGGGATAAAGGAGAACTCCCAGATAACTAAACACCCTTATGTCATGTGCAGAGAGTCAATGTAGCAGAACACTAACTGATTTCTGATCTTGACTATCGGTGGACTGTATGGAAGCCCGTTTCCGCCACTGAATAAAAAATAAAAAAGGGATTTGCGACTTTTTATCGGACAATTCTGACATTTTTCTCAGAATTACAAGATATAAACTTGCAATTATAAGTTCTAAAGTGAGAATTGCGCGATATAAAGTCGCAATTTTGTGTTATAAAATCTGAATTGCGAGATATAAACGTGCAATTCTGAGAAATAAAGCTTGTGTTTTTTTTTCCTCAGAACTGGACTTTATAACTCACAATTGCAAGTTTAGATTTATTATTGCTTCCAACTGTTTAGTAGTCGGATTCAAAAAAATTAACTGCCAAAAACATAAATGTCAACGAAAGCAAGAAAAACTAGCATGAAAGTGTCCAAAACAGTTTTAACAGTTATAATTTTAATTGGTTTAGGTTTTCATAACTTGTTTCAGCCTGTTTATTTATTAGTCCTGTATTAATTAAACCATGCAAACAACTGCCCCCCAAAAATATTAAAATCCATAAACACATTTAAAATTAAGGAACAATTTTAATCATATAAACATACATCTAACAAATGTTCATTTCTAAACATACTTTTGTAATTTTTAAAAATGAACATTGTATTAATTGTATGTATTAAGAACAAACATGAATTAGCTATTTATTTTAGTGTCGTTGTTCCACACTTATTACAGTAATAACAGTAAATTATAAAAAAAAATACATGCAACTACCCTTAAATCAATCCGTAATCCTAATACTAACACTTTAATAAGTAATTAATGCTATTCAGTACTTAATTGTGTAATAACAATGTAACAAGGACATCTTAAAATAAAGTGTAACCAAAACTTTTTTTATATAAATTGGTATTAACCTAAAATAAATGCAGCAAAATGTTGTTAATTGTTATTTCATGAACATCACTGAAGAGTCCTACCAAAACTTTAGTAAACTTATTAATATTACTTTATATACAGTATATAAGATTATATATATCTCTTAAAAATAAAGGTGCTTCATGATGCCATAGAAGAACCTTTTTTGTCTAAATGGTTCCATAAAGAACCTTTAACATCTGAAGAAACTTACAGTTTCACAAAAGGTTCTTTGTGGCGAAAGTAGGATCTTCAGATTATGAAAAGGTAAGAAAGAGATGGTTCTTTAAAGAACCTTTGACTGAATGGTTCTTTGTGGAACCAAAAATGGTTCTTCTATGCAGAGGTGTAAAGTATTGGAGTAAATGTAATTAGTTACTGTACTTGAGTATCTTTTTGGATACTTTGTAGTTGTACTGAGTATCAAAGATATTAGCAACTTTTACTCTTTACTTCACTACATTTTTTAATGAGTATCAGTACAACCTTTTAAGCACCTTTATTTTTAAGAGTGTATGGCTCATACAGGGCTTAAGGCCTGTCCACACCACTGTAACAATAACGGCGCAGAGGGACAAAATCGTTGGAATGGAATGACTTTCAGAATGTTTTTTTTTTTCAAGCTTAAAACAATGACAGCCAATTAGAATTGATCCTGATTTAAAGAGCTCAAGCATTTAAAGTGGCTTATGACATAACTGCAGCACACACTTATAATAACAGAATGATATTGTGCATTGGTGTGGACACTAATAAAGAGTTGTGCATTGGTGTGGACGCTAATAAATATTTATCGTTATAGTTATCAATGAGTCTTCAGGCAAATCAACCAAACTAATGAATGTGAATGGACAATAAGACTAAATTGATGTCATTTCTGCATTATCCATCTTGTAGACTGCGTATACGAGACTAAATATTTGTTTGTTCGCACATGATCCCTGTTCTTCATGTAGGAGGAAATGTGTTAAAACTGTGTAGCAGATGCCTCAACATCTGCTAGGTGTTCCTAGTTCACAGTAAGCATTTGTGATTTTCAAGTAGACTGGTGTCTCTGATAGACACCAGTTACACTTAAAAGACTTCAAATTTACCAGCTGAGCATACATGGGTAATAAAAGAAGGGTGTAGAGCTGAACTTTTAAAAGCCTGCAAATTCTTGGCTCGAGCAGAGGAACTACTCAGACACCACAGAAATTGTTTCAGATGAGATTAAAGGGGAAACTTCTACCCACTGCAGGTGTTGGCCACATGAGCCTCTGGTGGCTACTCTGGCTCAGTATGAGGTAGCATTTGCTCTGCCATCTGTTGCATCTGTCGCTCACTGTTGCCTGACATGACCTTGACACAGCGACCCTTGGTCACCCCTTTGTTGTAAGGCAACAAAGCCTTTGCATCTTTGCCCATGCAATATTGTAAACAACATTTATCATACTGTATGACACTATCAGCATTCTTGAATCAAATACTACAAAATGCTTACCAAATGACAAATGAATTGATTTTGCCAGAAGGCATTAAAGTGTCTTGTCTGTATGATATGCAATATACATATTTCCTGTCACATTATGATAGTACTATCAAAATCAAGATATCAGAAAATGTAAAACAATTCAGTCAGTGCTGTTAATCGTGACTTAAAGGGATAGTTCACCCAAAAATGACAATTCTGTCATTAATTACTCACCCTCATGTCGTTCCAAAACCGTAAGACCTTCGTTCATCTTCAAAACACAAATTAAGATATTTTTGATGAAATCCAAGAGCTTTCTGACCCTGCATAGACAGCAATGCAACTGACATGTTCAAGGCCCAGAAAGGTATAGCAAGGACATCATTAAAATAGTCCATGTTACATCAGTGGTTCAACCGTAATTTTATGAAGCTATGAGAATACTTTTTGTGCACAAAGAAAACAAAA